CCCAGTTCAGAACCTGCCCTTCTCACAGGCTGCGCCAGGAGCTCTGCAGCTGATGCCATGCAGCTTCTGCTCTTTATTTCATTACTTCAATAAAGTCTTTCTTCCTAAAAGTACCTTATTTCAGGGCGTTAGTGACTGAGCCAGAGAGGTACCTGTTATAGAATAACAAATACCACTTGCTGGAGCATCCGTTGGGGATTTGACTTGGTTTGCAATCAAAATATTTCCCCTGCATTAGGAAAACAAGCCCAGACTTGGGATCTCCCCGGCTTGGGTGCAAGTGATTAAATATTTTAGCCACCTGTTTCTCAGTTTGCCATTGAATGGAGAGAACTGGCAAATTGGGGGGGGGGAGGATGGAAAAGGGGGAACGTTGAGGGTGTCGAGACCCAAAAGGCCAGGCAGGTGTGGGAGCTCCGAGCACCGTGAGGGAAAGCTGGAGCAGAGCATCGGGGCTGGTGGCGTTCGTGACAGCTCTCCCTGGGCCATAAACTGGGTGGAGTTTTATGGCCAACCATTTATTGACTCCTTGAGGAGCATGGATTATTCCTTCTTCATCCTTTGGTACGAGGAGGCGTCAAGTTTAAGGGTGCATTCTCGCCCCACGGAGCAAGCTGCTGACAGGGGTGTTAGTGTAAGGGGGGAGGAAGGAGTGGGTTTGGGGAGGAGAAGGCTTGTAACCCCAAGGGAACACGACACACAATAACACAGAGACACAACCTGTTATTTCCTTGTTTCAGCTGGAGATAACAAAGAAGCAAACACACACAGGGCATCCCAGCCCGGGCAGGTCGTGCTCCTGGGAAGCCTGTGCAGGTACGGGATGGGACAGGGCTATGAAACAGAATCACAGAATCACAGAATCTTAGTGGTTGGAAGGGGGGAACGTTGAGGGTGTCGAGACCCAAAAGGCCAGGCAGGTGTGGGAGCTCCGAGCACCGTGAGGGAAAGCTGGAGCAGAGCATCGGGGCTGGTGGCGTTCGTGACAGCTCTCCCTGGGCCATAAACTGGGTGGAGTTTTATGGCCAACCATTTATTGACTCCTTGAGGAGCATGGATTATTCCTTCTTCATCCTTTGGTACGAGGAGGCGTCAAGTTTAAGGGTGCATTCTCGCCCCACGGAGCAAGCTGCTGACAGGGGTGTTAGTGTAAGGGGGGAGGAAGGAGTGGGTTTGGGGAGGAGAAGGCTTGTAACCCCAAGGGAACACGACACACAATAACACAGAGACACAACCTGTTATTTCCTTGTTTCAGCTGGAGATAACAAAGAAGCAAACACACACAGGGCATCCCAGCCCGGGCAGGTCGTGCTCCTGGGAAGCCTGTGCAGGTACGGGATGGGACAGGGCTATGAAACAGAATCACAGAATCACAGAATCTTAGTGGTTGGAAGGGACCTCCGAGATCATCGAGTCCAACCACATTAAAAAAAACCAAAAAACCAACCAACCAACCAACCAACCAAACAAACAAAACCAAAACAACAACAACAAAACCCAACAAACCCAAAAACACCACCCACCAACTAAACCCCACACACAACACCCCGCCACAAACCAATAACCTTGGGCACTAGAGCATGCCCTGAAGAGCCATGTCTACACGTTTCTTAAATCCCTCCAGGGATGGTGACTCCACCACCTCCCTGGGCAGGCTGTTCCAGTGCCTGACCACTCTTTCAGTAAAGTAATTCTTCCTAATATCTAATCTGAATCTCCCTTGCTGCAGCTTCAGACCATTACCCCTGCTCCTGTCATTATTCCCTTGGGAGAAGAGGCCAACCCTCACCTCTCTACAGTCTCCTCTCAGGTAGTTGTAGAGGGCAATGAGGTCTCCCCTCAGCCTCCTCTTCTCCAAACTCAACATGCCCAGACCCAAACGGTCCATTAAGTCCCACTGAGCAGGACCTGGGTGGGCTGAGGGCAGAAGGGAGAAGTGGAGATTTGGGGCTGGGGCTCTTGTCCTTCCTCCCTGCTTTTCTGGTCCAGGTCTCTGGATTTGGTGCCCAATGCCATTTCCTGGCAATGACACCTATTAAAAATAGCTGCTTGGGATCCTGACGGTGCTGAGGTCATACAGCAAACAAATCACTAGAGTCATGTCAAGTATTTCTCATTCAGCGTGTGTGCGCTTTGGCCCATCAGACCAGGAAGCTCAGAATTCATTTTTTCCAAGGCTGGCCAAGGGGGTAAAAACAAACCATGGCAGGTTGGAGCTTGAAAGGAAGAGCAACCTGATCTTTTTTTTTCTTGTCAATATTTAGGTTGTATAAGAGGTGTTGTGACTATTTTTGTGGGTGGTCGTTTGCACCATATTTTGCCTCAAATACCTTCTGGCATCTCTTTTTCAGGCTACTTTTATGTTATCTCTTAGTGGTCTAGATTTCTGGACACGTTATGCTGGAGAGTGAACCTGTGCTTCTCATGCAACTGTAAATGTCTGTGTGCCACTCTCCTTCTTTGATTATTTGTTTAATTTCCCTAATATGCTGTATACTTCCTTTACACTGAAAGCTCGCTGGGGAATGGTGCCTCACCCAGCACAGAGACCTGACAGGAGGGCACTGCCACAGGATAAAGGGTCAACCAGGCAAAAAAGTTAATTTAGAGAAAGCACAGGACACCTACAGGGTGGGTTTTTTTCTGCATTTAGATTCAAGTGTGGGCTTTCCTTTAATTTTTATATTAAAAAAAAAAAAACACAGAAAGCTTGCCAGTGTAGGCAGGGTGTGTGATAGTCGTTTAGATGTGGTGTTGGGGGATATGGTGTAGGGAAGAACATTGTAGAGCAGGGTAGATGGTTGGACTCAATGGTTGATCCCAGGGGTCTTTTCCAACCTGAATGATTCTATGACTCTGTGATTCTCTGATAGCATCCCACGGTGTGTCTGGGCCACCCACACATCTCTCTGCCTCTCTCCCGTTGCATATGGCTTCAAACCTGTCTTGAAAGTACTGAAAAGGAAATAATAAATAAGAATGCTCTAATATTCTGCTGGACTGAAGGCACGGGGTGCAAAACTAACCTCACTCTCACCCAGACCCAGAGGATGGGAGAGAGCAATCCTGGTCTCAGCAGCCTTCTCTCAAGCGGTCATTTCCCTTCCATGTGCTTCATCTGTGAGTGGTAGGAGAGGACAACACCGGTGGGCACCCTTCATGCCTCCTGGCACTGCTCTTTCTGGGATCAAGCCCTGAAAACTGGCGACGTTACAGCTCTAACGAGGCTCAGGAGTCACGTCTGACCATCAGGGTTTCAAACCTACAGCTGAACAAGTCCAGGCAGTGCCTGCAGCTCTGCTCCTCACAGGAAAAGTGCTCTGCTGAGGTGGGGATCGGTGTCACGGGCTGGTCCCCAGGCTTAAGAGCACCGTGATGTGCAGAGGAATTGCTCTGGTGGCTCCACGAACCTGTTTCTTTCAGCCGCCCATTTAATGAGCGTTCAGCCTTGCATCACTGGGGGGAACTGGGCTGACACTGGACAACTCGCTGCATATTGACCACAATGCCCCATGAAAGCATAAACGCAGAGGAGATGGCCAGGAGCATCACCAACAGTCTTCGTATATTGAATTTCCTTTCCTATTGACCTTGTTTCTACCACCCATGACTCTTCCTGTTACCCCAGGCCCTACCACATCCCTTCTGCTAATTGCTAACACTCAATCAATACAAATACAGGTTATGCCCTCCCTCATCGTTAGTCCTGCTGTCAACAGCGAAGTTAGTTATGCCATTTGGAGTGGTACCAACGCAGAGCCCCATGACAGCTCTCTGGGGAACCGGGCTGCTCAGAGGTGGCACCGGGGCCGGTTCCTTGACCCGCTGCAGCAGGTTGACCAGGAGCAGCCCAACTGCTGGCTGAGCTCCCACCCGGCTCAAAACACCCTTGTCTGGACCCTGCGTTTCATTCACATCCCTCCTGAATGTGTGGAGGTTTATATGGGCTGGCGGAAAGCCAGGGAGTCTGCATTTTGGGATTAGTGGGCTGCATCCAGCTGCTGGGACGTGTGTGAAGAGCTGCTGCAGAGGGGCAGTCCCTTGGGACTTGGGTTGAATCCCTCCGTGGGATGGGGCTGGATCCCTCTGTGGGACAGGACCCCTCAGTGGGGCAGAGGCTTCACCCCTCAGGGAAGTGGGGCTGGATCCCTCCGTGGGGATGGGAGCTGGATCCTGCAGAGGGGATGGGGGCTGAGTCCCTTGGTGGGATGGAGGCTGGATCTCTCCGGTGGGATGGGGACTGCATCCCTTGGTGGGATGAGGGCTGGATCCCTCTGTGGGACCGGGACTGGATTGCTTGGTGGGACAGGAGCTGCACCCCTCAAGGAACTGGGGCTGGATCCCTCCATGGGATGGGGAGTGGATCCTGCAGAGGGGATGGGGGCTGCATCCCTCGGTGGGATGGAGATTGGATCCCTGCACGGGATGGGGGCTGCATCCCTCAAGAAACTGGGGCTGGATCCCTCCATGGGATGGGGGCTGGGTCTCTCCGTTGGGATGGGGACTGGATTCCTCGGTGGGATGGGGGCTGGATCCTGCCGAGGGGATGGGGGCTGGATCCCTCGGTGGGATGGGGAGTGGATCCTGCAGAGGGGATGGGGGCTGGATCCCTGCATGGGACGGGGGCCGCATCCCTCAGGAAACTGGGGCTGGATCCCTCGGTGGGGGGGGGAGAGGGAC